AAACCCCGAAACCCCGAAACCCCGAAATCACAAATTAATAAAAATATTGTATTTGACAGGCTATCTATTATTTTGGACGCCACGTCGGCCAAGAGATGACCCGAGGTGATGGAGGCTTGGCCTCGTTGCCATACGCGAGATGCGGTGCTGCAATGACACTTATACTCCAGAGCAATGTGACGTAGAGCCTCAGGAGGCAAAGATCCGTTCACAGACAGCTGTAGCAGGCGCTCGTAGAGGGCGCGCAGTTCAACGTCGGAAAGGTTTCGGGTCTGTCGTGGTGGCGTGGGAAGACTCGGTGGGGCAAGCAGAGGCAGTGGTGGCATAGTAGCAAGGTAGTAGTGTGTTAGGACTTGTGCACAGCAACAAATATTGTGTTTTGAATGTGTGGCGGAAGTTTATGCAATTTCTGAAGTTGATGTGCGTCGCATTCGGCGCCATAATTTTTGATGTGGAGCGATTTGAAAGGAGCACAAAGTACCCAATCAAAGCTGAGATCTTGCGGAAACGAAACCTTTCCAAACAGCCAATCAGATACAAAAATGACCAAGTTTTTTTTAATAATTCCGCCAATCAATGTGAGTGGTGTGCAAACATTATGGACCAGAGTGGTACTCGTTCGGGGATCAGGCTATTGCTGGTTCCGGGAGTAACGGGTTCGACACAGATTAGACCCAGAGTTACAGTGGGATGATGATCCAGTAACAAGAGATACGACTGTTACCGGGAAATGCCGTTATAAAGTCGCTTCCTCTCACCCCGTGACAACTGAGACCAGAGTCATGGGCATGCCATCGATCACGAGTACTTCGGTAAGAGTCATCGTCGCTCCGTTTGCTATGGCAATGCCTAATTTGCCCATTCTAGTTGCTCGGGCGACATTGCCGTCGGCGAAGATGATGGTTCGGTCGCAGGCCACCGCGTCGTACAAGCGGGGTTTCGGGGTTTCGGGATTTCGGTCATGTGGGATGACGCCCCCGAGTCGATGATGATATTGTCTGCAGCTTTGACTACACTTAGACTGAGACTCGGGGACTCAATCCCATCGAACAATTATATCTGTTGGTTTGGCGCAGCGCCGCCCGACTTGTTCTGGAGTCTTGATGGCGTCGCCGATGGAGGATGGCCAAGAAGTCGGGAATGGCATTCGGACTTCCAGTGTCCTGCTTTGCCACAGTGGTGGCAGTTCCCTTTACGCCTTTGGCCGCGTCCGGTGCCTCGACCAGCGCCTTGTCCTCGGCCGCCTCAACCGCGGCCGCCGTCCATAGCACCAAGCACCCGTGTTTCGCCGGCTGCGTTGCCCGGGGCTTGAAGGGCACCGTTGGCCACAACGGCCTTGTATTCGGCCTCGAGAAGTGTTCGAGCAACGGTAACTGTTTGCAAATTTTCATGCATCAAGTTGATTTGATGCAATACGATACGTAGGCACCATGGCATGAGGGCCAAGAGCTTGGCGACCGTCATGTACTCGTCTTCAGCGCATCCCGCATCGCGCAGTTTGCGGACGAGGTTTTGGAACCGCTCAATGAAGCTGGAGAGCGTTTCCCCCTTGAGCTCCCAGCTGATCGCATGGTACTCCGTCAGCAAAGCGATCTTGTCCACGTGCGTTTGGGGTTCATGATGCCTTTGGAGCGCAATGTAGGCCTCCAATGCACGGGTAAGTCCTTTCACATGTTAGTATTGGTCGACGTTATTCGACTCTATGATTATGCCGAGGGCTCTCTGCGTGTCGCGCCTGTACTTTGGTTCGGCGACTTCGTCAGAGGACACGTAGAACGAGTGCTGCGTGAGCGTGTGGATGAGGCCATTTCCCATTAGCCGCCCCTTGATGAATGTGCGCCAAGTAGACCAGTTTTTGTCGTCTAACAAGATCGTAGTTCTGTCGTATGTTGGGCTCATAACCTCTCAAGCTAGGAAGTAGATGCGCACACAAAGTAGGTTGTTCAAGAGTAGTTTTATGTAAGCCTTATAGGATGTATCTGCAACCATCACTATTTGGATCTCTTCCTAGGATATATAAGATATATAGAATTTGAAACCACTAAGTCGGTGTGAAGCCACCTCCAACAAGTCCGACGTCGCACTGCCACACACGAAGGGACATATCTTCCGCAGCCGACACGGCCTCGTCACCCATGTCGCCTGCAAGACGAACGGTCCTTGCCATGTCGTCGTAGCTTTCGCAACCAGAGTACATACTGGTAACTAAGCGGCTACCAAGGGTGTTTGGCGTTATTGACTGAGGTGGAGCATGTAGCAGGGAGGCACTTCCTGATCCATAAGGTACCGTATACCTTATGGATCAGTACCCATGATTTTGCCTTATCGAGTTGTTTCGGGGTTGCTGTATGGTGTCAATATAGTACGATTTGGTGGCACCTTGGAAGGTTGTACCCAAGTCGCTTTATATTGGTCAAAACTGTCCAATTATCTCGTTCTAGCCAATTAAACAAGTCGAAGTAGTAGAAGTAACCAGTCCGAACGCATTGGAAAGAAATCAGACAATCTTATTGAGTTGTATCCATTTCGATCAGATTTTACTGATATTTTCGGGGGTACAGATCCAAAAGGTATACGGTAGACCAATGTAAGCAAGAGTGTGGTGGTGGTAATCCCCAAGGGGATATCATAAATTGAGACCCGCCCAGTGGGCGTGTCCACGGGGGTTGGATTAGTTTTCAACTAGCAATCACGATGCATCAGCATAAGCTTCACACACGATCGTATTGCCCCAAGCGCAAAGATAATTTCACGTGCAATTATCACATGCCATTGCTACAAAATGCACTGCGCACATGCACCACACACCTTCTGAGCGTGATTTGATTGGCTAAAAAGACTGTGGGAAATCATCAACTTTACGATCCTCATAACGATATGGTCGTCCAGGAGATGTGATGGTTTACACAACCAAGAGAAGATATGATTGGCTAAAATATTTTGATTTTGAACGAATAGAATGGAGGGTTGACAGCATTTTGACATCAATGGGAGACCGGAAAGGGGATGGCAAAGGCCGCGGCGGGTCGAGGAAGGGTCTGAACCCGCTTCTGCCTCATAACAACCGCATGAGCAGCAGCTCTGCGTTGAAGATGACGGGAATATGGACGCAGACTATCGGATATGATCCATATGCACAGGAGGTAGGCTGATCTCCACCGCACACACGATGGGGCATATGCTCGTAGGGAGACCGACAACAAGAGGAAGAAGCCGCAGCTGCGACGAGGGAGCGAGCCAAAGGCATCATGGCTTTGGCAACGTTGTCGAATCAAGGAGTATGTCGTGTAACTTGGCAATACCATACCGTTCTCATGGTGGTCGTAGAACGAAGCACGAGGCGCGTGTAAAAAGTGTGGGATGATGGGCCATTTGACATTTCAGTGCCGAAACTTTCAGGTGGCCGCTCCCAAGGAGGACGAGGTACGATACGATCCCTCGTTGTTCCAGTCGTATAGGTTATTGCATGATACGTAGTCGTCGGACGACAGCGACAGCAGCACCGACGACGATGCCAGCCGTCGCTCTCGTGAGCCCAAGAAGAAGCGAAAACGCAGTCGATCGCCCAAGAAGAAGTCGAAAAAGGACAAGAAAGTCAAGAAGAAGGGCAGTAGTAGCAAGAAGAAGAAGCACAAAAGTGAGTGATTAAACACCAAGTAGTTAGTACCCGTTGGTTGGAAACGAATCGCCGGCACATGGACATGTCGTTGGAACCAGGAAAAGGGCAAAGAGTACTTTCTCAAAGTGCAATATGGAATATCTGGGGGGGTTTCGGGGCCATGATTTACGTAAGCAAGAGCGTGTGGATGTCTTGAACGGCGTGGCGTCGAACGACCACCGACGGAAATGGCGGGAAAATCGGCGAGGATGCAGAAAATTGTGACTTCGTTGTAGGACTTGATAAGATTAAATAAGTTATTTACTGTTTGACACGTTTGGTGGTTGCAGACGACGGCGGCGACGTAGCTAGTCGGGAGCTCTTCCGTCGCACATGAGGTGCCGACGATCCTCCCGTGACGGCGGAAGAGAGGGACGAGCTTTGCTGGACGGGACTTCGCATCACGGCGGCGTTGAGGACGCACGGGTACTTCTCGTTGGCGGCATACTGGGCTGCTTGGACGAGGGTCACATGCACTGCTACCATGAGAGTTTGGCCGCCGATGCGCCTTGCCAGCATTTCTTCCTTTGTGGGTTCAACGTTGTCCAGGATAAGCGCAGAGTTGATGCATCGAATGGCATACCGGCCCGAGATCTCCTTCTCGAACTGGTACCGGCACGTCGGACACGTGCTTCGGAGTCGCAGCCACGACCCAATGCACGCTTCGTGGAAGATATGGCCGCAGGGAAGCACAAGCGACTCGTCCGAGTTGTTGGGGTTCATGCATACGACGCAGTCGTTGTCTTTGTCGGTGTGGGAGTCCGTCGTCGCGAGGCATTGCACTCGAGGACATGTGTCCAGCGCTGTCTTGACCGCGGGCGTGGACGCCTTGAGCTGCGGCACAATGTACCGCATCATGTACGACACCCAGTGGGGGCTGCGGAACACCTGGAGGACGTCGGCGACAGTGGCGCCGGCAGGAACCGTGTACTGGACGCTGGCCTTGAGGTTGATTCCTTGGGTCATGTCTGTCAAATCGTAAAGTGAACATATTCGTGGAAAACACTCAAATGCGGTCGTGTGATTGGTGCGTTGAATTTTGTCCAATCAGAATCCGTCATCTCGTCTCTTGCTGGCCCGTAACTGGCCCCAAGCTGTCGTTTCCACGGTGCTGACCCGATTGCCGCCATTGGCTGCAGGTCAGTGTATCCGTTTGCCAGAAGTTGGTCACTTCTCCGCATGAACGAGGCACCTTTCTACAAAGTATTATAGTATGTACTAGTACTACTACTAGTAGTACTTCCGATCAAACGAGTTTCACTAGCGTTTTGCGATGGATATATATTGAATTGGAGTTGTTGAATCGTGTTGTCAGTCAGGAACAGTACGACGCGATGATGGGTCTCATACATCCCGACGCGGGTTGTTGTTTGCTACTGTTCCGCGATGAATTCCTTTAAATAGAATGGTTTCCGGATTCCAATATTTGCAATATACATTCTCGTGGTGATTTGCAGTCGAAATCATAGAATAGAAGGCGGTCAGGTTTGCAACTGATTCAATGCCAAGATGGTGTAGGTAGCCTCAATGCTCTGCTTTAGAGGCACTAGATATCGCGTCAAGTGAGTTGGGAGTCTTCCGGATATCTACTAGTATACTAAAATGTGACATTCATGTTGAAGGTTCCATTGTTGGGCGTTCCAAATATATCCAAGCACAGATTTTTGATACAAGAGACGGCAGCGCTGTTTGATTCAGTGTAGGTAAACAACATATATCTTTGCTATTCTACAGTGAACACTGTACCGTACCAGCGACGGACGTAAATCACCATGGGTACCTACAGTTTTGAGGTCTGCAAATGCTGGCTAACTGTAAATTTACTGTACGATGATACATTCCAAAAGCAACCGTGTACACTCTACGTTGGGTACATACAACCAGCACTAATGCTCGTATACTGGTCAAAACCAGTTGATTTTTCCTTTTGACTTGGAACTTTGTCAATGGCTGCGGAATAATCTGGTATTTGCACAAGTAAGTAATGATGTACAGCATGGGTGCAATTCGGTCCAATATGGATTTAGGACACACATGTTTGCTTATGTACCACCATAGTTTCAGGATTTCACAGAGATTCGTCAAAGTGTTGTCAATGTTGTTCCTGTCATGCTTTCATACCGGTACATTCGTATATGCATTGCCCAGATTCGGGGAATCGAGGTAACGTTACGTACAGTAATCCTTCTATTATTACTACCAAGTACTATTGTGCTTTCGAGTGAAATTTCGTGTTGTGGCGTGGTTTCTCGTTGGAATTTAAATCGATTTGATTGGCTACTTCGGATGAGCTCAAAATTATTAACCAATCAAAACATTCTCAATGAAATTCAACCAATCAGATCGATTGTGGATCGGTTTGGTTGGCGCGATTCGATTGCACCCCCTCCCCAAATTTGTATCAAATCGACAATACAAAGTTGCGTAAATTCAAATTGGATTGAGTATTTGGTGCCTTCCAAGATGCTGCACTAGCTATTAATAGCTAAACTCACATACTAACGTTAACTGTAAGTTAGTGTATCTCGGTCGAAATCAAGCCACGCGTTGATACTGTAATACAGTGTCCAAAGGTTTTCGAGGGTGATACAGTGCGACTACAGTGTACAGATACAGTGGTCCTGTAGAACATCCTATTCTCATGAAATCCTTAGTATCAAGACAGAAGTTCCATCCCTGCGACAAGAGTGGGCAACCTCTTGCATTGGTGGTGTAGGTACTGTAACGACGGCAAATGAGTCACCCCTTTCCGAGGTCCAAGTAGGGGCTTTCGGGGTTTAAACCAAGCAACTGGAGCGATATGTATTCTATGTACCCTTCCTGGCTTTGGCTTCGAGTACAGTCTATATCTCCATGTTGAGCTCAACCTGTAGCGATTGCTCATATCCACGTCGTCCTATGATATACAGTACGTGACGTGGGTACAAGTGTATCTACTACGTCCAGCGCAAATCACTTTGGGGTCGTGAAGAATGTATCTTGAGAGAATACTGCAAATCACTTTGGGGTCGTGAAGAATGTATCTTGGGAAAATTCGACTTTTCCTGTAGAGACATCATCAATGCATGTGACAGCAAACGACGTTCGATCACACATACAGTGTAAATACCAACAAGTAGCCAAGCTACGGCTGCTGCTGTTGATACTAAACAACGCCGTGTAACTGTTAGACTGATTAACTCCAGGTTGAGGGTAAAAATGTCAAGGCACTTCAAATTCCAGTTATTACTCTAGTAATACAATCCATACTACTGGATAGAGAGGGCCGCCGAAACATCAATTTTGTTTTTCCCACAAACCCCGAACCCGAAAACCCCGAAAATGATCGGAAAAGAATTTTTCTCCAAGTTTTAGTCGACAACTGTTGTGTATCTACGTGCTGCACGTGAAATTCTTGTACTAATAGTATACTAGTCCCACTGGCGAAACCTCATACTTCGAAGTACAGCAACCATAGCTGCTGCTGTTTATACAAACAACGCCGTGTAATAACTGTTAGACTGATTAACTCCTGGTTCCACCGAGGCTAAACATGTCAAGGCACTTCAAATTCCAGCTATTACTGTAGTAACACAATCCATACCGGCGGCTCTACTTGACAGAGGGGGCCACCGAATCAGCAATTTTTGTATATCCCACAAACCCCGACCCCCCCACGGACGAAAACCCCGAAACCCCGAAAATGATCGGAAAACAATTTTTCTCCAAGTTTTTTTATAGTCGACAACTCTCGTGTATCTATCTACGTGCTGCACGTGAAGTTCCTGTACTATTAATAGTATAGTAGTCCCACTGGCGAAACCTCATACAGCAACCATATTAAGCCCACGAATTATAACGGGGGTTCCTACTGTATTTCACAAATTCCATTGCTTTTTGGTTGTACTACATGGACACCATGCCACTGGGGGCAGTCGTGGCTTGGAAATCGGCGATGGATTTCGTAAGTTCGGCGATTTGGACTTTAAGTTGATGGAGTTGCTGCGCGTGTTCCTTCTTGATCGTCGCCAGCGCCGCTTTGACGTCGTTCTGGAACTGAACGGTCGAGTTGTCTGGGATTTCCACCAGCGGCGCGTACTCACTTTTGGGGGTTTTGTCATAAAACGCCGGGTTCAAGATACCCACGGCATTGGGTTTTATAGCACTTTCTTCTTGTTCCGAATCAGAACAAACGAGCGGCTGCGATTCGTCCGGTCGTTGGTGAGCCACGTTCTTCAACTGGACGCTGCGCAACGTAAGAGATGACGTGTCAGTGCCATACACCAGCGTGGCCGGGTCGAGATCTTTGAGGAACTTAGGCTTAATGATATAGATCATTTCCAGTCGTTCTTGGGGCTGCAGACTTAGTTCGAGGCGGAGAATGCAGTGCGCATAAGACACGAGGGCTTCGATGCGGGCATTTTCGAGCCCCATTTGCATGGTGACGTTCATCATGGCGATGAGAACGTTGAGAAGGAGGACGATGGCCGCGGCGCAGTGAAACATGAGCAGAATGTACCCCACGACATACAAAAGCGGCTGCTTGTCCTTTTCGCTCTCGATTACGTCGACTACTTGGTCCAGTTGGCCAAACAACACGAGAAACACCGTGATAAATGACTTGAGCAGCGTTTCGTGCCCGGGTTTGCTTTGAAACAGAATGTAGTAGCAGCACGTCAACCCCCCTAGCACATTCATATATAATTATATTGCATACGACTAGGATATGATATATATATATCACCTTGAAATACACCGTAGAGGATCGAAAACCGCGTGAGGTCCCGCATGAGACCCTTCATCATGGGCAGCAAGTACCCTGCACTGGGGATGATTTCGAGGAATTGCAAGAACAGCACCCACAGCGACAGCGTGGTAAACCCAGAGCAAACCAACTACATATATATATTATTTAGTCGAGAAATATATATATATGACATACCTGCGTCTGCCTGGACACGACCGTCTCGGGGATGATCTGGAGCTGGCACGGCACGTAAAAGAACAAGATGACGCAAAACGTGATGATTTGCATCGAGTTGACGACGCTGGTAAAGTAGTTGCGGACGCCGTAGCCCATCATTTCCTTGACTTCCCACCGGAAAAAGTACCCCGCCGCCAGCCACAGCACAATGTTCTGGAAGATCTGGATCAAATCCTTGGACCTAACATATCAAATAATTAATCAAGAAACATCACTCCGAAACCCCGAATTATATAGCGTTCGTATAGATATTAAAAAACATTTTTTTTTAAATCACCCCGAAATGCAACGCTCGTACGGATATTAGATTAATATATATATAAACTATGAATAGATCACCCGAAACCCCGAAATATATAGCGTTCGTAGGGATATTAGAATATCATTTTTTTTAAAGAAATCACACCGAAAATATAATGTTCGTACGCGTTGATTTGTGCGTCGGTACGCGTGGCCACGTACGCAAACAGCGGAATCCCAAACACCCCCGTCCAGAAAATAGACTGCAAAAACAGCACATTCAGTGCATGGTTTTTCCATTTCTTCATGTCTGGGATTTGCTGCGACCAGTCCAGTCCCGTGTAATCGCCCTACGAAGATAAGAAAATAATAGATATATAGTGTATTTTTGGAATATCGTATTGAAAGATATTTGTTCATATAATATATTTTGGAATCAAATTGAAAGATATTATTGTTACCCAAACGATGAACCAGACCAATCCCAGGTACGTGCCGTCGCGACACCATTTGGACAAGGCGCAAATCCGCTTGGGTTTGAGTCCGTAGTGCGCAATGATCGTCGCCACCACGACATACACGAACGTCACGAGCCACACCTACTCCAAAACAATCATTAATATATATATCCAATCGAAATATATATATATATATTTCTTACGCTCAATGCCAAGCGAAATCCGCTGCTGTCCACTTGCTCCGTGATGGTGCCGTCGACGCCAGTGACGACTGGAATCGGAGGCGATGTCCAATCTGGTTGGAAAAAGTCTTCCAATTCTTTCAGAACATTCCGAGGCGCTTCATCCAGTTGATAAAAGCTGCCTGAAATGATGCTCGACATGAGCAGCAGCGCGTACATCAAAAACTGCTCAATGTACAGTCGTTGGGCAAAAAACTACAAATACATAAATATCAACTTTAAATATATATATATCAGTACCTCCCACTTCAATTGCAACACGCGTCGAATCATGGGATGCTGGAGGCAATACTGCTTGACCGATTCCTTGGCCTCTGGCTCGGCCGTGTCCAAATGCATGATCGAATACAGCGCCGACTCGTGTACTTCTCCCTTGCCGTAGATGCGGTCAAGTTCTCGGAATTCAAAGTTGTACCGGCCTCGTTCAATCACAAACTCGTCTAGAATTGCCTTGCCCAGCTTTGGGTCGCACTCGATCGCGCCTATTCAAACAGTCCAGGGGTTCGGGGTTTTGGGGATTTGGGGTTCAGGGGTTTCGGGGTTTCCTACCTTTGAACATGAGTTCGCTGAACCGCAGCTCGGACGAACTCTGCTCGAGGATGAGCTTCACGAACGCTTCCTTGTCTGGCGCGACCATGAACGCCGTCTTGCCGCCCTTGTCGCTGCCGCCGATCGACGACCCAAACTGCAGCAGCACCTTGAGCACGCCCACGTTGTTCATTGACGCCGCGTACATCAGGGCCGACCACCCATCCTAACAAATACATATATAAATGTATAAATATATACATATATTGTGGATTCGGTATATGGCAGACCCCGTCAACTCGAATGTCGCCGCCGAATCGAATCACGACCCGACGCAATTGGCTAATCCAATTTCGAGTGCATTTGATTGGCTCTTACAGAAAGGACAAGTATATTCAACCAATCAGAATTTCGAGCGTGATTCAATATTGATTAGACTAACCACGCGAAACTTGCAAGGTTATAGCGAATTCAAAATATATTGTCGATTTGATACATATTTGGGGAGGGGGTGCAATCGAATCGCGCAGACCAAAACCGATCCACAATCGATCTGATTGGTTGAATTTCATTGAGAATGTTTTGATTGGTTAATAATTTTGAGCTCATCCGAAGTAGCCAATCAAATCGATTTAAATTCCAACGAGAAACCACGCCACAACACGAAATTTCACGCGAAAGTACAATATAATGACAAATCAATTTTCGAATTTGGAATGACGAGGAACGCCAAGTCGACAGACAATCGATCCACCAATCAAAACCCAGAATACGAATCCAGTGGCCAATCAAAAACTCCTGCAGCCATCGAAATACTGTACGTCTTCAATTAGTGTGACCAGACATGGTTCACATACAACTCTCCGCGTCAAAACACACAATATACAAGCATCCCTTCAAAAATACATCGATCGATACAGCCCCCAAATGCAAGTTTTCCAATATCAAAGTCGATATGTACGTTACATCGTCTCGTTCGTCGACGGGGGCGCCAGCTTCGAGCAACTGTCGAGTAGCGTCGACGTTATCGCTGCGGGCTTGGTATAATAGCGGGAACTTGTCTCTGAACAGCGCTTCCTTCTCCAAGAACGCCCTGGATCCGACGTGGTTTCCCTCTGCCGCGATCTCCAGCGGCGTCTTGCCGTCCCCCCGTTGGGCGTTCAGATCAGCATTTTGGTCCAGCAGGAGCTTGACGATGTCCGCTTCTCCAGAGTCCACGGCCGTCATGAGCAACGTCGTGCCGTGCTACGATAGACAGAGAAACTCGTTTAGAAACAAAAGAAATGAGTGGGGACAAACTGGTTGCGAAATCGGAGACTGGTATTGATTGTCAATATATATGTCAATCGAATATGAGCTGTACCAAACACATCGGCACACAATCGATCGACCAATCAAAACCTAGAACACTCATCAAGTGGCCAATCAAATTCACTCTTGGACCAATCCAACATCGAATTCGTGTGCGACTGAAATTAGTGTGATACTGGACGATCTTTACATACAAAAGTCAGGACAATCAATCGATCGATAGAGTTGGCAATGAATCCGCACAAAAGTCAAGTCGACAAAGTTTGGGTAAAAGAAAGACAATAGGTGTACCTCGTCCGGTTGTTCAATGTCCAAGTCCGGATTTTCCTCCAATAGCTCGCGCAAGGCTAGGATTTTGCCCTCGCGGACCATCAAGTGCAGCATTTCTCGCTCCAACACCATACGGCACTCGCCAGAGGCCAATGACAGCGCGGTCGCTCCGTTCTACTTAGTTCAATTTAGTGGTTTACACTTATGAAATCAATGGAAGTAGTAGGCAATGTCTTACTGGATTGGAACACGCTAAATACAATGCAAACTCACGACCTTTCAAAAAACGGCATAAGCGATCGAATTAAGTAGAGTTTCAATACATCCACCAATCAATAGTTTAGTATCCATATATATGAACGTATTGTCAAATCGATTCGAAACTGAAGCCGCCGGCAGAATTCAATGTCTTACGAGAATGACAAATTCAAGGCCGCCTAAGCCAATCAAATCACGTACTGGTGGAGATCTACCAATCGAAAGCACTGATGCACAGTCCCCGAGGGTATTGAGGGAACTTCTGCTCGTATGTTGGCTAGGTCAATTTCGTCGATTTCTGAAGTCTCAGTCTGAACATGCACTTTAACATGCAGTGTCCACTGGAATGACATATCTCTCACAATACGATTTGTTTTTTACAGTAAAAGCATCCATGAACTATAATAACTTGTGAAACACGATATACAATTTGAAATGAGATTACATGTTTTTTATTATATCTCGAATGTAATATCATCAAGTGAATCAGCAAATCAATTTCATTTTGCCTCTGTAATATAGTTTCAAGAGGGAGCCCTGGTCTATCAGTCCCTCCACATTAGGCAAAACCCAATACATGCTAAACATTGTCTAGTATAGTTTGTACAAACTTAAATAACGTCAAATGCTAATTGACTCAAAAGTCCAAATTTGGGCGAAAAACGAAATATATATTGCCACAAGGTTCAATCACCATATATTATCGTACCATGTCCGCTGCATGCATATCCACGTTAAGTGTCAAGAGGTACCGGACGATGTGGGTATGTCCAGAGACGGCGGCGTACATGAGCGCCGTCTTCTTGGACTCATCTCGTTCGTCTGGGGCGCCACAGTGTGCCACTTGCACCATGAGTTTGGCCAAGTCCCCAGCTTTTGCATAGTACAACAGCGGGTGTTGTTGGCGCAGCAGAAGCAGCACCTTGCAGTTGGCATGGTTGTGTTCCACGGCCAAATCCACTGGCGTTTTTCCGTCCTATATATATAACTCAGCTTTATGGTGTGCTGTTCAATATGGTGCTTACAGCATTCTTGGCGTCGAATTTGGCTGACGCGTCCAACAGGAGCTGCACGATACTCAAGTAACCAAACGCCGCGGCAACCATAAGCGGCGTCATACCCCCCTAACGTCCATTTTGAATTCCGGCGCTCCCTTTCCATTATATACAAACATACCACGGCGGCTTCGACGACACTGGTCGAGTGGTGGAGCAAGAGGCGAACAATTTCGTTGTATCCGCGCTTCGTGGCCACCCACAACGCCGTGGCCCCGTTCTACGACAATATTAATATAAATATATATTTAATGTATAATATTTTCAAGTCGATTCGAAATTGGAGGGAGCAGTACCAAATACATCGGCAGACAATCGATCGACCAATCAAAACCCAAACCACTAATCAAGTGGCCAATCAAATCCACTTTTCGACCAATCCAACATCGAATTAGTGTGTGACTTAAATTAGGGTGACACTGGCCCGTTTTGACACACAAAGTTCAGTACAAAGAATCGATGGATAGCTTGGCGAATCAAGTTAAAAGTATAAATTTTCGGTAAAAGGACAATATATATATAGTATTCTCACGGTGGTCATCGCGTCGAGGTTCGCGTGGTGGTCGAGCAACACTTTGGCGCATTCCAAATGGCCTCGATCTGCTGAATGAATCAACGCTGTCCATCCATCTTCGTTGCATCCGTCCACGTCCGTCGTGGACGATTCCTTGGCCAAGAGAAGATGCAGGACGTCCGCCCGACCTTCGGACGCCGCGGCGCTCAGGGGGGACTTGAGCTCCTAGACGGTATTATCATTAAATACGTGCAATTACGAGATAAAAGAGTGACTTTAGGATGTAGTTACATAGTTGGGAAGGTTGCAATTCGCCGTAGCGTCCATTAATAACTGCACCACGCGAGGGTACCCGTTGGCCGACGCGAGTAAAAGAGCCGTGTTGCCGGTCTACGTAAGCGACATTTGAGATAACATGAATAGTGTTCCGTGAAGTTTTGTAATATATATACAGTACCTCGTCTTGGGCGTCAGGGTTGGCATGGAACTGGATAAGAAGCGATACCATTGGGGCCACACCATGTCCCGCGGCAAAGATCAGCGGCGTCTTCCCGTCCTGATTGCACGTTATTAGACTAACGGATGGGAATGTGTATCAGCGTACAGGAAACGTGGAATCCACGTTCGCTCCATGCTCCAAGAGTAGCTGGACAGACTCGATCGACCCTTTCTGGACTGCTCGAAGGAGGGCGGACAGGCGGTCCTGCGGCACATTGCATGAGTTCCACAACAAGATATACATGCACATACGTTGCGCTGTCCATCGATGGATGCGTGGTGCTTCAGCAACACTTGGATAACGTTCGCTTTGCCGTTCGACGCAGCATGGACCAACGGAGTATCCCCTTGCTAACAGATGCACGTGCATGAGGGATGCATGCATGTGGAGACGACAAGCATGCCCACGTACTTCGTCCACTTGATCGACAAACTCCCCTTGCGCGAGACGCCGCTGCACTTCCAGTACTTTCCCATGCCGCGCATCCTTCCAGATTGTGCGCTCGCTCATCGTCCAAATTGGAAAGTGCTGAGCGGCTACCGTACTTTTTCAGTTCATTGACGTACACCATAATTTTGCCCAATCCGAGTAATTAACGCAAACACGTAATTGCGTTAAGTAGGAGATATGGTCGTAATCATCATGAAAATGGTGTAGTCGATCGCCGCCTACCCATCCTTCCGTGCTACCGGTATTTCAACCACCAATATGAAGACACAACATCATCGACATCACAGTAGGATTTGGAATAGGATGCAATTGAAAACTCCATTCAATTCCATTACTCGTTAACTTACAGTTACCATAACCATGACCTGTTGAAGTAACACGTACGTTTAATCCACCCTTGTTTAAACGTTAAATGTGATTTGACACATGTTTGAGATGACCAATCAGAGTTCCGGATTCTTATTTTAATGGACATTTCAATCTCTACCTTGGTTTTGGTATGTGTATTGGTTTGGGTAAAATATCTCGATGTTGAACCAACCAAATTGCTGAACAATAATCTCGACAGCAACAAAACGATGGCAAAGGGCGGCAAGAAGAAGGGTGGCAAGCGCAAGCGAACCCAATGGGATGACGAGACGGACGACATGCCTAAGAAGCAGCGTGGAAGTTCCGAAGAAGCGGGCGGCCGCAAGAAGCGCGGGGAAAGTATGTTCACGCAATGGAAGAAGCAAAAGCAGGTGTTGACCCAGAAACGGCGCGTGGTCGAGTCCTCCATTGCCCAGCGCAAGCATGGACAGTACATTCGCTTGAAGGGAGTGAAGGATGTCGACGATACCGACGAGGAGCAACACGACTACGAAGGAAAGGACGAGGGCTCGGATGTCGACACGGGGAGCTCCGACGACGACGACGCCAAGCCATCCGCATTCAACTCGTTCGTGTCGAGATTCCAGCGACAAACGCCTAGTTTCCAGGAACATGACCAGAGCGAAGATGAGGTAGAGGATGTCGAAAGCGATCAAGGAGACATCGTTGAGGAAGGTTCGGACGAAGATGGACAGGTGCGATGTCAGTGTGAATTGCCCTCCATGACATTGTGAATGAATATGCGCAGGAGAATGAAGACGTCCAGCCGACCACCGAAGATGCTGAAAGCGATGTCGAGTCCGAAGAAGACGACGAAGTACCGGTGGTATGTATATACCCCTTGCTCAATCACATTTGTCGACTACATTTTGGTCCCTATGAACAATTGGTGACCAATTCATGACCTACATTGCATAACATTTGTAGGAGCATTCCGCCGGGGACGACGATGACTCGGATCCGTATCGCCAACGTTATCTCAATCAACAATTGACCGTTGCGGATGTGGATGTACGATATATATATATAATTTTCTGTTTTTCTCATATTTATAAAATATATATTAGGTCTTATCCCAGAAACCCCACCCATTCCAAGTCGTGGAGCTCTGGAAAGACTTGGAAATGAGCGTGCGGCCAGTCCTGACTCCTGTCACGTCCATCGGAGGAGCGCGGCCGTTATCGCATATCCGCCGTCGATTAATGGACACGTGGACCCAAAAGAACGTGGCAGACATCACGGTACATTATTCCATTCCCGCATATGGAGAAACACACGTACATATATCCAACATGACATGCAATTAGCCACTGCAACAACTCTTGCATGGGGCGTACCACCAATATCAAGACGTGTTGTTCTGCAACCAATCCGCCGAGACCTTGGCCGAGGTATGGTGGCGTGCAGTACATATAATAGTGTGGTCAGTTGAACTTGATGTAGATTCGACAAGTCACCATGATGCATGTCGTGAACCATATCCTCAAGTCCCGCGACACCATTGCTCGTCATAACGAACGGTTGAGCAAGAAGGGGGCGTCGGACGAGGCCGAGTACCGCGACCAAGGCTTCAGTCGGCCTACAGTAGGACGATGACACTGCAACGTAGGATAATCAGATGTACTTCCATGTAGGTACTTGTCCTGGCGCCGCTCCGTAGCTCGGCACATGCGCTCGTGCATCAACTCTTGGACCTCTTGCCGTCCACAGTCACGTCGGTCCACAACAAAGACCGCTTCGACGAAGAATTCGGCGAGTACGTTGTTTGATTGGACAACTTATCCGCCAATCAGAGAGCTCCATTTTCATTTCGAGCCTCTGATTGGCTGACCATGACCTACGTACCTCACTTTTGAATTTGCGCCGTAGTGACCAAACCGACGACACCGCCGACAAAGAAGACGGGACCGAGTGGCAGCAGATCTTCCAAGCTGGGAACAACGACGATGCGTTCCAAATCGGCATCTCCTTTGCTCGCAAATCCGTCAAGTACATACGCTGACCATCTCCATATAGAATACATGTGTGGGTTCACCATATCCCTTGACTATCATCCCGTAGATTGTACACGGACTACAGCCGCGCAGACTTGATCATTGCATCTCCATTGGCTTTGCGTCAGAAAGTGGGAGATATCTTGGTCGACATCGTCCCCGGCGACAAGTCGACGTTGAAACTCCCCGTGGATTTCTTGTCGTCCATCGAAGTTTGCGTCCTCGGTTCGAATATGTCGTTGATACTGAATATCTTATGTATATCTTTGCTTGTAGATTCAGCCAGTGTGTTCCTCATGCAAAACATGGACCACGTCCGCGCCGTCATGAACGCGATCAACGTCACACCCAAGGAAGCGCCGCATGCCGACTTTTCCCGCGTACGGCAGCTATCCTTGGTTTCATAGTCCACATGAATGATTAGATTCGCGAATGGAACTTGAACCATCAAGCGCACTACTTTCGTCAGACGATCGTGCTGGCGCATGCCGCCGACGCCCAGCTCAACAACCTGCTCACCAAGTCCTGCCACAATTTCCGCGGCGTGACCCGCCTTGCGCCCGTCTACGACCTCCACCACGTCGTTCCTTCCGTGTCCCATGTCATTCCTTCCATCAAGCAGATCTTCCAGCGCCTGGACACTCCATCTCAACCCGCCACTTGTCCCCTTGTCAACGAACCCAACGCTCGATTTGAATACTTTGAACGTCAGATCCTGGCGCCGCTGTTGGACCACCCGTCCAAGCACACGATGGTATTTTAACTCGAATATTTGGGCTTTTGTGCTAAATCTCCAAAAATCTATCGATTGATTCTTTGTACTGACATTTTGTATGTCAATACGTGTCCTTTGGGGATTCATATCACACGAATATGAAATCACACACTAATTAATGATGGTTTCCTGCAATCTGATTGGTTAAATTCTTCTGCCTATGATTCTTGTGTACATTGATTTGGTTGTATCGATTCATTATTTTCTCCATATCGCTAAAGTTTAGAATAAACACACAACAATACCCTGTTTTACTATCAAAGTATCACTTTTAGTCCAAATATATATCACGTTTGGACGACTTGTAGATCTTCGTGCCGTCGTATTTGGACTTTGTCCGCGTTCGCAATGTGTTTGCGACCCAAAAACGACTCATCAGCTGTGCCGCGATCTCGGAATATTCCACCGACGCTCAAATTTCAAGGTAATATTTTGTCGAATATTTATTATTTAATTGATATTTTATACGTACGTTTAGAGCGCGGTCCCGCTTCTACCACGGGCAAATCCACGTGTTGTTGATCACGGAACGCTTTCACTTCTACAAACAATACAAGGTACTCGATCGATGATATTATATATTTCAAGGATTCAGGGCATTTATATGTATATATATATTTGTCTAAATTAATGTATTTGGGTGAATTGTTTTTTCGTAGATCCGAGGCGTCCGTCAAGTGTTTTGGTATGCGCCGCCTTCGTTGGGCCCGTTTTATGCCGAAGTGTTGAATGCGATGGATCCCGAAGAGGATTCCAAGAGTGTGGTGGTGTGCAGTCGCTTCGACGCCCTTCGGTACGAGTCGAACCATAAGTATATATATAGCGTTCTATTTGGATATAGTAATACTCATTCAATATGTGGTATATATTTGTAGCATGCAGCAGATTGTGGGAACCAAGAAAGCCCAGCGTATGTGCGGATCTACACCCGACACAAAGTCGGTGTACATGTTTTGCTAAGGACTAGGATAGTGGGGACGTATACTAGTTAACGACATTTGCACATAGATTTCTTACAGCTGTTGAATGCGGCATTCAAATTTAGCTTTGGAGATACTACTAACTGTAAAAAAGTATTAATAGTACCGTATTCCGTAATACGAGTTAGACAGTGATGTATCGATATCCGAATACGGATACATGGATGGATGGGGACTTTGGTTTTCGAGTTAGACATACAATACTATTGTGCTTTTCACATATTTTGGCTAATCTGGGTATAAATACCCGCTTTTAACCAGTGGGTGACGAAGTTTTAGATTAATTCAACTTAGTTTTAGCTAATCGGAAGTACCTTTGATTGGATGAGCAAGAGCTGTTCCTGCAGCATATGTTGCTTAACCTGAAGCGTTTGCCCAT